AGCAAATATCAACAGAATACCAAAATGTTCTTTCACTTTTTAAATTATTAAGAATGACAATGACCCTATCTGAAGACAGTGAGATTATGATGCATCTGTTTCATCTGTAACCTTGGGCTAATGGTATGAAATTTAAAAATTTTTACAACATTTGACCTAGAAATCACCCATTGAAGAAGATATCCTAAAGAATAATATAAAAGAAGTTAAAAATCTATGTTTATGAAGTTCATTCTAGAATTATTCCTAATAGCAACAGTGGGAAGCTAACAACATGCTCAGCAGTAAGATATTTGATACATTTGGCTGTCTCAATCTAATTGTAAGGACAGCAAAAAAGATGGATATAAAGACAGTACCAATGCAGATAAACACTTAAGATGTGAACAAGTGAACATGACGTACACGTACACACCATGACTGCGAGTTTGGAACACATAGGAAGATAAAGACAATTGACTTGTCAATATTGTGAGAGCAAACACTTCATTACTCTTATTCTGCCCTCTGTTCAATAAATCAAAATTTGAAAATCAATTTTTTAAATTCATTAGAGGTTAGTCAATCACTTACCTGGAAAGCATCACAGGCAAAAATATGACAATATTTATATAGATATAAAAATGAGTTGCTACCTTTTTTTCTTGAGTAAAACTACCATCATCTCCTCCCTATATACATAGGTATAGTTAATGGGAGGTAATATTGGGGACAGTATGAATGAGATTATGTGACACACTCCCATTATCAAGACTGCAATCTTGAAATCTCAATCCTTATCTATGATACATTTGTAGAGATTTCAATGCGATTTGAAAAGGGTTTTCTAGTGAAGGCATCTCAGGAAGACAAACTGGGTCCTGAGATGCCCCTTGGCAGAGAGGGAGTTTGGGGAGGTCCTGAGATGAACTCTGTGGGGTGCACCCCTCAGGGCTTTCTGCAACCTGTGGCCTTGGAAGAAGACATAGGCCAGGCATATACTTGTTTGGGGTAGAGTCATATACAGACTTGGGTGGTGGGATGCTCAGGACATGGCTTTTTGGGCACAAGGTTTATCTGCTTAGAGGCCAACATGGTGTGGGAGGAAAGGGAATGGTTGCCACATCAGACCGAATCCACTGATTTGCACACCACCTTTGTCTCTTAGTGGCTGGATGGAAAATCCTAACTTAGAGGACTTTTTGAGAGTTAGAGACAATATTTGGGAAATGCTGGGTACAGCATAACTGTTATGCTAAGGTAGTTGTGGGTGAGGATACTCCTATTTCCTTGAGTTGACTGGATTTGGAGGACCATCCTATGTGACAAGGTTATTCCAAATCTGTTTGAAAATAATGATGACTGAAGTAATTATGTACAAGTTTTTCAAGGTGTGGCTTAGTGAAGAGGCAGTCAGCATTAGCAATCACTTTTGGACTTAGCCAAACAGTAACTTTATACATATGGGGGATATTTGCCAGTATAGAGGGAAAGTTCTGCACTTCCTGCTAATTCTTGGGGGGACATGTGCAAATTACATCTGGAGTTTGCCTTTCCTTGTGAGATGTTATTTTCACATTGGGAGACACTCTTTTCCAATCTTCTGTACATTTTTATTTATTGTATTAAATACAGTGCAGTGTCTTAAAATTACTTGACATGTTTAGTAATACATTTTCAGTATATTTTAAAGTTAAGCTTTAACACATACGTACGTACACTTGGGGGTGTGGTGAAAATATATGGTGAATGTTTAAATTTTAAAAAATCATTACAGTGATAGACACCTTACCCTTATTCTCCCTCAAAATACTCCTCTTTACTTTGAACACACTTATCCCATTGTTCCTGCCACTTTATAAAGCAGTTCTTGAAGTCATTTTTTTGTGAATACTGCTGCCAAGTGTTGTCCAATGGAAAGGAAAGGCAGCTTTACTTACTTATTCACTGGATTGGGCACCATGCAAACTCTGGTTCTTCCTCAAAGTCAAAATGATTATGAAAGGTAAATGTTTTGCATCTCTTCAGAACATTGAGGCAGCAATGACAGCGCAAGTAAAGACACTCATGAAAGAGAACTGCTTCAGAAAGTGTCAAGGATGATTGCATAAATGTGTTTGAAGTGACAGGGAGTACTATGAAGTGGATTCACAGCAGTGTGTCTTTCCCTGTAATCAATTTTAAAAAATTTAAATATTCACTCCAGTTTTGATTGTGTACATACATAAAGTTATAAATTTATACATAAACGTACACAAGGGCATAAGAAATAAGTGGAAATTTAATGTGTAACCAATACCCAGGTCAAGAAAGGAACATCACCAGCTTCCTACACAACTCCCATGCCGGTGACCTGGGGTGTCCTCGAGCCAGCTCCTACCAGTTCATGAAGGCAGATTCTGTTCATCTTTCCCCATTTCTTGGCAAGGTGTCATCTTGGTAGCTTGGAACTGATCATAAATGGGTTATTTACACCTCTGGAAATCAGCAAGTACTGCACATTCTGGATTTTTTTTTGTTTGATATTTTTAGGGAGTCAGTTTATTAGTGCACCATCGTCCTTATCATTGCTAACCAGGATTCCCTCCGCCCATCCCTGAAGATAGCCACTCTCCTGACTTCTAAAACTGCAGATTAGTTTTTCAAGTTTTAAACCCTTTTCTGTGTTGTTAGGTCATGGGTTTCTCAAAGGCAGAACTTGTGTCTCATTCAGCTCACCCTTTTTATATGATGATATGAAGTTCTCCAGTGGAATGTTTATTGAATCATTAGGTTGCTGTAAGATTTAGCCAGAATTAGAAATGAGTGCAAAAAGCAGGATGTTGCAGTAGCAAGCAGTCCTGGGCACAGAGAGGACTAAGCCTTGCTTCTCTCTTGGTCAGATATGTGATGATATGCAAGTCACTTCATCAGACCTTAGGTTTTTATTGTTGTTTGTTTTTTAATGTTGGGAAGGGAGTGGACTTACATGAGTAGTCATGTCCTTTGTAAAGCAGGTAAGATTCTTCTGATTGTTCAGTTCTTCACATGTTTATGACAGAAAGATATATCCTTCCGCTCTGGTGCTGGGGGTTCAGGGGCAGAAAGGAGCAGGCATGGAGTTAACTTGGAACACCTAAAGGTGGTTGACATCATTCATCTTTTCATCCAAACCCCACCTTTCCTTCCATATTGTCTGCCTCTAGCAGTGAAGAAATAGCTGGAAAGTCCTTGCCTTCTCCTCCTTTGATGCTGAAGATTTTGATCAAATATTAACCTTAATTATACAGCTGAGGCTTTAAATTAGTTTTAAAGTGTAAATTATGTCTGAAATTTAGCTTAGCAAGCAGAAATGAAAAATGCAAATCAGGCATAAATTTGGCAGAAAAAATTGCAAGGATAAAAATAGACTGTCAGCTAAAAAGGGGGGAAGTACAGTACCAATATACAGTAGCCCTGTGTGGGACATGCCTAGAGTAAATTGAGGGGGAACTTGGTATAAATAGTTGATATAGCATAAAGAGTATTTGGCAAGTAGATGTGTGACTTTATTATTCAGTTTTATCTTTACGAAAGAGGAGCAATAATATCCACCTTGCAGAGTTGTAGGATTAAACCCATGCTATGTTAAATATTTGGTGTGTTTCAGGCACAATTTTTTAAAAAAGTTGTTTAATGTTGTGAATTAGATTTCCTAGGCTACAGCAACCTACATTAAACTGGAAAAATGTTAAAGCCAACATACAGCATTCAGTTCAAAACAATGACCATTATTTCATGCTTACTGTGTGCCATATAACTGACAGTAAAAACACAAATAAGGGAGCTTACATTTCCACCTTGGAAATACACAATATATATGATAAAAGACATAAAAGAAAAGACATTTCATTTCTGAAGCATAGGTCCAGAGTGAGATCTGCACAACATTTTCTTGAGATTTCTCGAGTAAATGGGGGGTGAGGACAAGAAATTTGTTTTTAGGAAAGTCACTTGTTTTGGTTCTGCATTATTTGTGGTTCTGGTACTGTCAAAGATCATCAAACTCAGTGATATCTATACTTCCAACATCTTTCAAGATCTATTAAGTGTTGAACATTAATGACTGGTTAAAATGCCTCAAACTCTTTGGGTTATATTGGCATATGACCCATGACAATTTGTTGGGCATATCTGCTCTTACAGAACATCTAGGGGGAGAAAATAGAAAAGACTTAGTGGAATTAGGCATAACCTGTGGAGGAGGAGGAAGAGGAGGAGGAGGAGGAGGAAGAGGAGGAGGAGGAGGAGGAAAGAGTATGATGTTTTCTTGGCTGCTAACTTGATCATGGGAATGATAGCCTTTGACTTTAATTTACTTAAGTAAAGGAAGTTCCGCCATGAAGTGAGTAGAATTGTTTTCTCCCCAAAAGATCTGTTTAAGTTCTAACCTCTGTAACTGTGAATAAGGTCATTGCAGACATACAGTTACATGAGATCATATTAGTTTAGGGCAAATGTCCATAAAATTCATGTGGTTAAATGACAGATGTCTATAAGGAAGGTAGATATTTGGATGCACACACCACACAAGGGATATAGGGAAAAAAGATGTGAAGATGGGGCAGAGATGTGTCTATAAATCAAGAAATGTCCAAGATTGTTGGCAATCATCCAAAACATGGACAGATGCATAAAACAGATTTTTCCTGAGAGCCTCTAAAATGTATCAGCTCTACTGACATCTTGATTTTGGATGTCTGTCTGCAGAATGGTAGGCATAAACTCTTGTTTTCAAGCTACCTGTTTTGTGGTAATTTGTGTGGCAGCTCTAGGAAACTAATTCATACCACTAAATTAAAATAGATCCCTATTTGTATCAATACCAATATTAACACCAATATTTGTATACAAGGATGATATTATTCTTCCAATTCTTAATAACACAGTTAATAATTACGTATGATTGCATCTTGGCTATTAAAATTAAAAATTATTTGTTTGCCTATTTTTTTCCAATCACTATTTTTTGTCTCTCTTTTGGTTTTAGAGACTTAGGAATTTTACAATGGACTCTCTTGTTGTGGCAAACAACAAGTTTTGCTTTGATTTTTTCCAAGCAATAAGCAAGGATGACGATCATAAGAATATCTTTTTCTGTCCACTGAGCCTCTCAGCCGCCTTTGGCATGATCCGCCTCGGGGCTAGAAATGACAGTGCACATCAGATTGATGAGGTAGGTAATTGTGCTGGTGTTCCTGGGGTCCTGAGCCCTGTGTGCACTCTCAGAGTCAGACACTAATCCCACTCAGGTCAGCTGAATTGCTTTCTGTACCCTGGGGTTGCTTGGTTTCTCTGCAATCCTGTCATTCTTCAAGACTCACTCAAACTTCAATTTCCTTTTTGGAAATTCCCCAGCTTTCCCCTTCTACAACTTTTCTCAATGTTCTTCTTTGTCTCCATCTCTGTCTCAAGTCTGTCAATCTTTATTTCTCTAATTATTATTATTAATATTGCTAGTAATTTTTTTTTTGGTACTGGGGATCGAACCTTAGGACCTTGTGCTTGTGAGGCAGGTGGTGAAACCACTGAGCTAAATCCCCAGCCCGCTAGTATGTGTATGTGTTTTCTTTCTCAAGCATTTTGTTGACTGGTTATTGAGCACTAGACATTTATTCAGTGGCTAGAGTGCTTGGTATTCTCCTTCCATCCTCTCTCTCTTATTCCAAATCACATTTGTCAAAATGTTCTATTGGCTTTTCTTTCCAAACATATCCAGGACCAGGTGCTTCTCACTATCTTCCTGGCATCTGAACCACACCATCTCTTCTATCACGGCTCCTATTCAGCCTCCTGCTCCCACTGACCATCTATTCTCCACCCAGAAGTTTGAGGTCCTTTCAAATCTAAGGCAAATCCTGTTTCTTAGTTGCTTAAAAACCCAGACTTCTCTTTTTGTTCATGATAGAAGCCTGAGTCCTTAAAATGGGCCACAGGATCTGGGGATCTGAGTCTCCAACCAGCCCTGTGACTCATCTCTTGCCCTCCCTGCCCCTTCCTATGCCTACCACATTGAGAAAGTCGCCCATTCCTGCCCTCAAGCCTCTGTTCCAGCTTCCTTGGCCCCATGGCTCTTCCCTTGGACAGCTAATATTTTAGTTTGCTTTCTCCTTCATGACTCTGATCCTCCTCTAAGAGGACTCCTCTGACTTCCCAATCTAATACCAAATTCATGTCCCCAATCTCATGAAAGATTCCAGCTATATTCTCCCATATGATATTTCCCACCATTTAACACACTGAATAAGGCGATCAATTACTATGAATTGCTGTTTGTATGCCTCATCTACTAGAATACAATCTCCTAGTAGACAGGAATCTTTGCCCCAGAACAGCTCATGATTTAGAATAGACATCCAGTAAATAATGTAGAATGAATGAATGAAGGTGACAAGAACAACTACTCAAGTAACCAAAAGCTCTTGATGTTGGCCTTATATGTCCCTGGATCTAGCACTCAACATAAAGTTTAGGTATATGTAAGGTTTTTTTCCCCTGAATATAAAGAGGTCAAATTTATGGACCAAGGCAGAATGTGTTTGGGATCATTCTGCTTCATTTATCTACTTAGACTTTCTATATTATTTTCTTGATCCATTTGCGAAACATAGCTGCACAATGTGGTTTGCATCTTCCAGGTCTGGCTGATTTTTCTCTATGGTACTTGAGAGTCCCTGGTAATGACGAGTATGAGCAGTGCCAGATGCACCACTTGCCAGGCTCTGGAAAGCTCATCTTTTGTCACCCTTCTTCCCTTGATTGTTTGGAAACTCTACATCAGCTCTATCTTACACAAATATGACTTGAGCCACATATATAATAAAAAAAATTTTAGTATCACATTAAAAAGGTTAAGGAATAGCAAGAATAGTTTCAAATTTTTTTTTAAACAAACATTTCTAAATATTTTGTCAATGTGTAATCAAGATAAAAATGTAATAAAATGTAATTAATGTAAAATTTCAATGAGATATTTTGCAGTCTTTATTTTTCATAGTACCTTCAGTTTGTATTTTACATTTGATTTACAGTCACTTTGGACTGGCCATTTATGAAGTGCTCAATAGCTACATGTAACTTGTGAATACTTTTATATTCTTTTAGTTTGTTATGTTTTTTCCCTTCCTCCTCCCTTCCTTCTCTTCCTCCCTCCCTCCTTTCCTCCTTCACTTCTTTCTCTTTAAAATTTTTTTTATTATTTCCTTCCTTCCTTCCTTCCTTCCTTCCTTCCTTCCTTCCTTCCTTCTTTCCTTCCTTCCTTGCTCTTTCTTTGTCCCTTCTTTTGCATACCAAAGATTGAACCCAAGGTTTTTGCACCATCTTGCTAAGTTCCCAGGCTGTACTGGAATTTGTGATCCTCTTCCCTTAGACTCCCAGAGTATTGGGATTACAGGCATGCTCCACCATACCCACTGTATATTCATTTCTAAATGGAGCCCCTGTGAGAGGGGTAGCATTCAGTTTTTTCCTCTCTATTCTACCCCACAATCTGAGGAAAGAAACATCCATTTCGTAAATGATTATTGATTATGTAATCATGGCTATAGTCACATTACAAAAATGTTTCTAAAAAAAATGTTTCTGAAGCTATTCAGATTTCCTATTGGTCACATTATTTGAATGACTCTGTCCCATTATTATACAGGTACTACACTTCAATGAACTTTTGCAGAATGAAAGCAAAGAAACTGACTCCTGCCTTAAAAGCAATAAACAAGTGCTACCTGATAGCTCTCCAGAAGGGCAGCAGCAAGCAACAGGGTCTCAGGATGTGCAGGTGAGCTGTGGCCCTAAACTCTTGCCCATCTTTACAAATCATTCTGCTGATTGCATTATATTTGGCAATGGTTGCTTATCCCCAAACATTAGGTACTGGCTTCTGTGGCAGCAATAATCTCATATGACCTATGATTCCTTTCTGATGATGCTTTTTATATGTCTGTGGCTGTGAGTTCATTCCCTAGAGTAGGACCTGTTATTTGTGCTCATGATGAACTTAGATTATAGCCTCATTTCTCCCCTGCTTCTACAGGGCCCAGGTCCCTAGAATGGAGCCTAGTTGAAGATGAAGGGCAGTAAGGGGTTGGGTCACTGAGGAATTCTCACTCCCCACCTCTCATGGTTCTATATTGTGCTGAAAGCTCTACTGACCCTTATGACCCTAATGAAATGAAAGTACTTGTCATTTAGTGGTGTTTAGCTCTTCTGATAGGGTTAAGGTCACATATTGTTTCTTCTTTTGTCAGCCTGAATCCTCAAGTGATGAGAGTAAGCTGCTAAGCTGTTACTTTGGGAAGCTTCTATCCAAATTAGACAGGATCAAAAATTACTACACCCTGAGTATGGCCAACAGGCTTTATGGTGAACAGGAATTCCCAATTTGTCAGGTGAGTTGTGCATGGCTGGTGACTGAAGGTGCCACAGGGCATAACCCTTAGAAAGAAGTGAGTTGGGCAGAGGAGTAAAGGTGCCATCAGCATATAGGAGCCTTCTGGGCTGTCATACCACAACCTCCAGTATTGAGGAGGTAAGCCTTCTGGGCTGCCATACCACTGACCCCAGCACAGAGGAGCAAAGCAGACACCAACATAAAGGAGCCTTCCAGGCTGCCTACCACTGCTCCCAGTGCTGAGGTGAACCACGTGGGTGCCAGAAGCACCCCCCCCCCCGACTTGAGATGAGAAAACACATAAACAAGTCTCAAAACCAGACTTCCAGATCACCTAAAGCAATCCCAAAGAAAACAAGATGGAACAATCTGATACTCAACCACCTGGACTCCCTAAACTGGCAACAAAAGAGGATCTGGAAAAAAAGAAATAAGAAATAATTTCTAAGATAACAGCAGAGATTGTACCCATAGTGCAAGACATGATTAATAAACTAGAGAGGACACAGATGAAAAAATAGAGGAGGTGAGGAACATGATGGAATCCCAACATAGGCAACAAATGGAATCAATAAAACAGATGCAAATAGATTTCCAAGAGATTAAAAATTCCACTGAAAGTTTACACAGCAAAATGAGCCAATGTGAGGACAGAATTTCAGATATAGAAGATAAGATTGCAATTAGTGACCAGGAAAAGAAAAATTTCTCAAAAATAGTAAGGGACCATGAGAAATCAATTCAGCAGCTACTAGAGGATGCAAAGATGAATAACATAAGACTGATTGGAGTCAAGGAAGAAACAGGAGAGAGTGCAGATGACATAAAAAAACTGTTCACAGAAGTGATGGCAGAAAACTTCCCAAGCAGGGGAAAAGAGCTTGACATACAGATAAATGAGGCATATAGGACTCCAAATAGCCTTGGTCAAAAAAAATCTACACATAGGCATATAATTGTTAAGATTCCAGAAACTCAATAGAACAAAGTTCTACGAATAGTTAGAGAAAAGAAACAAATCACATACAAAAGGAAGCCAATCAGAATTACAGCAGACTTCTCAGCGCAAACCCTCAAGGCAAGAAGAGCTTGGAGTGGTGTGTTTCAAGCCCTAAAGGAAAACGGCCTCCAACCCAGATTGATGTACCCTGCAAAACTATCTTTCAAAACTGATGGTGAAATAAGAAACTTTCATGACAAAGAGCACCTTAGGAACTTCATGAATACCAAACCAGCACTCCAAAAAATTTTTGACAATATCCTAGGAAAAGACAAAGAGGATCACAACCCTAGGAAGCCCAGCAGAATGAATCCATTGGGCACGACAAGAAATTAAACACAAAGGGGGAGAATCCAACAAAAAGAAAAAGTCATGACAATGATAAGTCAATATGTATCAGTTATAACCATCAATGTTAACAGTCTCAATTCACCAGTCAAAAGAAATAGACTGGCAGAATGGGTCAAGAAGCAAGATCCAACAATATGCTGCATACAAGAAATAGTTAATTCAAAAAGAAACTCATAGACTGAATGTTAAAGGGTGGAAAACAATGCTCAATGTGACGGGAACCCCCCAAAAAGCAGGAGTAGCTATCCTCTATGCAGATCAAGTGGATTTCAAACTAACACTGATTAAGAGAGACAAAGAAGGACATTACATCCTTGTAAAGTGAATAATCCTATAGGAAGAGATGACAATCATAAATATCTATGCACCAAACACTAGTGCACCCAACTACATAAAACAAATACTAACGGACATGAAAAGTTATATATGCACTAATATAATAGTAGTGGGGGACCTCAATACCCCACTGTCACAAATACATACATCAACTAGATAAAAAATAAGCAATGAAATACTAGAACTCAATTGAACTTCATGAGATAGGAACCCCCCCAAAAGCAGGAGTAGCTATCCTCTTTGCTGATCAAGTGGATTTCAAACCAACAATCATTAAGAGAGACTAAGAAGGACACTACACACTTGTAAAGGGAACAATCCAAGAGGAAGAGATGACAATCATAAATATCTATGCACCAAACATTAGTGTGCCCAGCTATATAAAACAAATACTAATGGACATGAAAAATCAAATAAGCACTAATACATTAGAAGTGGGGGACCTCAATACCCCACTGTCACAAATAGATAGATCAACTAGACAAAAAATAAGCAACAAAATACTAGAACTCAAACAAACTCTTGAACAAATGAACTTAACAGATGTTTACAGAGTGTTCCACCCCCACAGAATGAGAATACACATTCTTTTCATCTGAACATGGGTTGTTCTCCAAAATATTCCACATGTTCTCTCATAGAACATGTTTAAGTAAGTGCAAAGGAATTGAAGTTATCCCTTGCATATTATCAGATCATAGTGTAATGAAATTGGAGATCAATAGCAAAAGAAACCACAAGAATTTCGTAAACACATGGAAACTGTACAACACACTTCTGAATAACCAATGGGTCACAGAGGAAATTAAAAAAGAAATCAGACAGTTCCTACAATTAAATGACAATGCCAATACAACAAATTGGAATCTATGGGACACAATGAAAGCAGTCCTTAGAGGGAAATGCATAGCAGTGAATGCTCATATTAGGAAAACAGAGTGAGCCCAATTAAACAACCTGATGCTCAACCTCAAGCTTCCAGAAAAAGAAGAGCGGGACAAACCCAAAGCTCATACAAGGGAGGAAATTACAAAGATCAGAGCAGAAATCAATGCAATGGAGACTAAGACAATGATACAAAAATCAATGAAGCCAAGAGTTGATTCTTTGAAAGAATCAACAAAATTGAGAAAAGCTCAGAAAAAGGAAAGAAAAGGCCCAAATCCATGCAATTAGGAATGAAAAGGGTGAAATTACAACAGACCCAGCAGAAATCCAGAGGATCATCA